TTTTTTTTTTTTTTTTTTTTTTTTTCGTTCGTTCGTTTGTTTTGGTTTGGTTTTTCCGTTTTGTTTTTTTGTTACCTCTGTGCGTCTCGTCCACAGTTCGCCGTGTGGCCCCTCGCTTCTCCATCCTCCCTGTCAGCCATGAAATCATGCCCGGGGGCAACGTCAACATCACCTGTGTGGCCGTGGGGTCCCCCATGCCCTACGTGAAGTGGATGCAGGGAGCAGAGGACCTGACCCCCGAGGATGACATGCCCGTGGGCAGGAACGTCCTGGAGCTCACGGATGTCAAGGACTCTGCCAACTACACCTGCGTGGCCATGTCCAGCCTGGGAGTCATTGAGGCCGTTGCCCAGATCACGGTGAAATGTAAGGGAGGGGCGGCAGGGTCCGTGTGGGAGGGGGCACGGCCGGAGCTGAGTGTCTGAGCATGAGAGCAGGGGACACCGGGCACGTGTCCTGCTCGTGCATGGCAGCCCTGGTGGCACCGGAGTGGGAATGTGCCGTGGTTTGTGCCTGTGTCACTGTGTGTCTGCATGGGGAGAGCCTGGGGCTGCCTGACCTGCACAGGGGACACAGTTCTGCATGTCCAGGTGCTCCTGCACGACTGGGATGTGTGTTTGTGCATGGACAGGGACAATCCTGCACGACTGGGATGTGTGTTTGTGCATGGATAGGGACAGTCCTGCACGACTGGGATGTGTGTTTGTGCATGGATAGGGACAGTCCTGCGTGTCCAGGTGTTCTTGCACAAGTGGGATGCGTGTTTGTGCATGGCCAGGGACAGTTCTGCATTTTCAAGTGCTCCTGCATGACTGGGATATGTGTGTGCATGGACAGGGACAATCCTGCACGACTGGGATGTGTGTTTGTGCATGGCCAGGGACAGTTCTGCATGTCCAGGTGTTCCTGCACGAGTGGGGTGTGTGTTTGTGCATGGACAGGGACAGTTCTGCATGTCCTGGTGCTCCTCCATGACTGGGATGTGTGTGTGCACAGACAGGGACAGTTCTGCATGTCCAGGTGTTCCTGCACGAGTGGGATGTGTGTTTGTGCATGGCCAGGGACAGTTCTGCATGTCCAGGTGTTCCTGCACGAGTGGGATGTGTGTTTGTGCATGGCCAGGGACACCGTGGCTGTCTCGTGGGCACCCCTGTCCTTACCTGTGTGTACACCTGGAGCTCTGTGAGCACGAGCAGCAGCACAGACTTGTACACCAGGAGTGGCCCGTGCTGAGATCTGTGCATGTGCCCTCGGGGATCCCACACCCAGGGAAACCCACAGTGGAGGGGAAGCTGGTGGCTGAAGACCTTCCCTCTCTTTAGGACACCTGAGCTGGTTGTTGTGAAGAAAACTGTGACTCAAATCCCTGCATGCTGGGTCTGTCCTGACATATGAGCTGGCTGGGCACTGTGCAAGGAGCCTTGGATGGCTTGGAGCCTGCATGCCATCCTGTTCCAAGGCCTGAGATTCAGCCAAGGCCCTGAGGATCTCTGGCATGTGCACCCTTGCACTAGAGCTTAGTTCCAGCATCTTAGTGGCCGTTGTTGCCTCAGCAAGATGGGGAATAAGCCCAGCTTCCAGCTAGTGATCCCCAAGAGGAGCACGGGTGCCATCTTCAATCTATTCTGTCCTCAGCAGGGGAGTATTAAACCCAAGCAGGAACCCCTGAGGTTGGGTGAGTGTAGAGCTCTGTGTGAGCTGGTGTCTGCTCCAAGTCCTGGTGCTGCCCATGAGGGATCTGGGACAGGCGGGGTGGGAAAGAATCCGTGGGTGGGGGAGAGGAGAAACACTTGGGAGAAAGGGAGGGATAAGGAAAAACAATCCTGACCTGTCAGAGGAGACAGGAGAAATGAGCAGGGACTAGAGAATCTCAGCATGAGCCCTTCTGAGCTCCTGCACAGCAGTGGGGCTCTTGTGCCAGCAGAAGGGCTCCTGGGGCTGGACTCACGTCCTTTTATTTTCCTGAGTGTTCCCTTCCTTCCCTTTTTCCCTGTCTTACCCTCTCAATCAAGAGCTGCTGTGTAGGGCAGATTGCTTCTGCTTCCAACTCTCCCATCTCCTCACACGGGGAGTCTCGCCCTGCTGGTACCTTCTGTCTTTTGTAATTTTGTTTGGATCTTGTTCCCTGCTCTGTTCTAAGTGTGGCTCTCCTGGGCAGAAGGTGAAAGGAGAAGTTGGAGCTTTACTGTGATCAGGTCTAGAGAAGTTTGGCTTCAAAGCCAGGTTGAACAAGGCTTGGAGCCACCTGGGCCAGTGGAGGTGTCCCTGCCCATGGCAGGGGTGGCACTGAATGAGCTTTAAGGCCCCTTTCAGCCTAAAATATTCTGGGATTCCATGGTAAGAAGAGGTTGAAAAGGAAGGTTTGAAAGGGCTTAAAGTGTGCAGTGAGGACATAAAGCTTGAGGGCAGGTGAAGTTGGAACACATCAGGTACAGTTCAAGTGCAGTCCCCAGCGGGCTCTCAGGGACTCCCTGGCTGAGGGAGAGGAGACGTGGGGATTTGTGGCTTGAGGGGAATCCCTGCCAGCATTTCTGGGATTTGTTCTGGAGAGCAGAGCCCACCCTGTGCCATTCCTTGCTGTGGGGGCTCGGCAGAGAGGTGAGCACGTTCTGGGAGGGAGCTGCTGGGGAAGGAGCTGCTGAGGAAGGAGCTGCTGGGGAAAGAGCTGCTGTCCCCCCCTGCCCCGGGAGCTGGTGGATGTGCAGCTGAAGCCTGTGCTAATGATTCCAGATGTTCAGCTGAACGCTTTGCCTTTGATGGAGCAGTTTAAGGAGGATCATAGAGTGGATAACTTAGGTTCATCATATTCCAGCAGCGCTTTCCTGAGCTGCCAGGATTGGTGCTGTGCCTCTGGCTCCTGCAGCCCTAACCACACCAATTAGGCACCATTTCAGCATCCGTGGGTTTGGTTTTTTTTTAAATGCCTGTTCTTCCTGATTCTCAGCACTTCCCAAGGCTCCTGGGACACCAGTGGTGACGGAGACAACAGCAACGAGTATCACCATCACCTGGGACTCTGGAAATCCAGACCCCGTGTCCTACTATGTCATTGAGTACAAGTCCAAGAGCCAGGACGGACCGTACCAGATCAAGGAGGACATCACCACCACACGCTACAGCATCGGGGGGCTCAGCCCCAACTCCGAGTACGAGATCTGGGTCTCTGCAGTCAACAGCATCGGGCAGGGTCCCCCCAGTGAGTCGGTGGTCACCCGCACTGGGGAACAAGCCCCCGCCAGCGCCCCCCGCAACGTGCAGGGTCGCATGCTGAGCAGCACCACCATGATCATCCAGTGGGAGGAACCCGTGGAGCCCAACGGGCAGATCCGGGGCTACCGAGTCTATTACACCATGGAGCCCGACCAGCCCGTCAGCAACTGGCAGAAGCACAACGTGGATGACAGCCTGCTGACCACCGTGGGCAGCCTGCTGGAGGACGAGACCTACACCGTGAGAGTGCTGGCCTTCACCTCCGTGGGGGACGGGCCCCTGTCCGACCCCATCCAGGTTAAAACGCAGCAGGGAGGTGAGCACCTGTGTCGCTGTGGGGAGGAGAGCTGCTGGTTGGATCTGGAGATTTAGATGCTATGCTGGGAAGGAATTATTTACTCAGAGGGTGGGGAGGCTCTGGCACAGGGTGCCCAGAGAAGCTGTGGCTGCCCCTGGGTCCCTGGAAGTGTCCAAGGCCAGGCTGGACATTGGGGTTTGGAGCAACCTGGGATAGTGGAAGGTGTCCCCGCCCATGGAACTGGGTGAGCTTTATGGTTTCTTCCAACCCGAACCATTCCATGACTGTAAATGTCTTTAACAGATGTAAAACTGCCCAGGCAGTGGTGACACTTTTAACTGTCCCTGAAGTACCCAGGAAATGCTTTGTCAGAGATGAGTGGGGAATGTGTTATGTGTTGAGCTGCAAACACAAGGTGTTTTACCACGGGCTGTCACCCAGCACATTTTTGGCGTGGGGTATGGGAGGAAACCCTGTGTCCTCAATGGACATCTCATGGGCTTCCTGCTCCCAGAATCTTGTGGTACTGGGATCGATGGGAAGGGTTGTATTCTGCACTGCTGAGAAAAAGGCAGATAATCCACGGGGATTCTTCCATCTCCAGCAGCTCTGGCCACGCTGGAATCCTGCAGTGGGATGTAACTCCACAGCTCTAGAGGCAGGACCTGCCCACGCTGCAGTGTGGCATTTTGCTGCTGACGTGCTCTTCCCACACAGGCTTTGAAGAAAACAGGGCAGGAGCGTCCTAATTAGCCAAGTTAATGTGTTTTCTCCTGTTTCTCATCTCGCCTCCCCTGCCCCGCCGGCTCCTTGTCCGTGCCAGTTCCCGGGCAGCCGATGAACTTCCGAGCTGAGGCCAAGACCGAGACCAGCATTGTGCTGTCGTGGAGCCCCCCACGGCAGGAGATCATTGTCAAGTACGAGCTGCTCTACAGGGAAGGAGAGCACAGCAAGGAGGTGAGTGCAGAGCGGAGCAGAGCCGTGCTGAGCAGCTCCCTGCGGTGTCAGAGCGAGGGGAGCAGGGCAGGTGTGTCTGGGAGGTGTCAGGGCAGGTGTGTCTGGGCAGGTGTGTCTGGCAGGTGTGTCAGGGCAGGTGTGTCAGCACAGGTGTGTCTGGCAGGTCTGTCAGTGCAGGTGTGTCAGGACAGGTGTGTCAGGACAGGTGTGTCTGGGAGGTGTGTCAGGTATGTCTGGGAGGTGTGTCAGCGCAGGTGTGTCTGGGAGATGTGTCTGGCAGGTGTGTCAGGTGTGTCTGGCAGGTGTGTCTGGCAGGCGTGTCAGCACAGGTGTGTCAGGACAGGTGTGTCCGGGCAGGTGTGTCCAGCAGGTGTGTCAGCACAGGTGTGTCTGGCAGGTGTGTCTGGGAGGTGTGTCTGGACAGGTGTGTCTGGCAGGTGTGTCTGGACAGGTGTGTCAGCACAGGTGTGTCAGCGCAGGTGTGTGTGTCAGGTGTGTCAGCACAGGTGTGTCTGGCAGGTGTGTCTGGACAGGTGTGTCAGCACAGATGTGTCAGCACAGGTGTGTCTGGGAGGTGTGTCAGGTGTGTCAGCACAGGTGTGTCTGGCAGGTGTGTCTGGGAGGTGTGTCAGCACAGGTGTGTCAGCACAGGTGTGTCAGCACAGGTGTGTCTGGCAGGTGTGTCAGCACAGGTGTGTCAGCACAGGTGTGTCAGCACAGATGTGCCAGGACAGCTCTCTGCTCTCTGGCCTCACCCCCGCTGCTTTTGTCTGGGNTCAGCACAGATGTGCCAGGACAGCTCTCTGCTCTCTGGCCTCACCCCCGCTGCTTTTGTCTGGGTTTATTTTTGTTCTTCCTCCCCCCCCCCCCCTCGCCCATCGCAGGTGCTGAAGAACTTCGAGCCCACGACGTCGTTCACGGTGGAAGGCCTGAAGCCCAACACTGAGTACGTGTTCCGGCTGGCCGCCCGCTCGGCCCTGGGGCTGGGGGCCTTCACCCCGGAGCTCCGAGAGCGCACCTTGCAGTCCAGTAGGTGTCTCTGCTTTGGCAGCCTTCTCTGAGGGGACCACGGTCAGGGAGTGTGATAAATGAGAGACAAAAGTCTCGCTATGCAGCAGAATTGTTGATTGCTTTGTTTGATATAGAAAGAGCAAACGGAGATGGGGAAGGTGAGGGGTCACCTCGGTTTGCAGCTTCTTCTCATACTGTGGGTTCTCGTTGTAGTCAACAATTTTTTTGGATTTTT